ACTGTTTAAAAGGCAGGAAACAAAGAGTAGGAACAAATTGTCAGTTTTCAGAAAGGAGAGAGGTAAATAACGGGGTCCCCCAAGAATCTATACTGGGACAAGTGCTGTTCAACATAGTCAAAAATGATCTGGAAAAAAGGGTAAACAGTAAGGTGGCATAGTTTGCAAAGGATACAAAAATTAGTCAAGATATTTAAGCTCAAAGCAGACTGTGAAGAGTTACAAAGGGATCTCACAAAACTGCGTGACTGGGCAACACAACGGCAGATGAAATTCAATGTTGATAAATGCAAAGTAATGCACATTAGAAAACAATCCCAACTACACATATAAAATGATGGCATCTAAATTAGCAGTTACCATCAAGAGAGAGATCTTGGAGTCATTGTGGAGAGTTCTCTGAAAACATCCACTCGATGTGCAGCAGCGGTCAAAAAAGCGAACAATGTTAGTAACCATTAGGAAATGGGTAGATAAGAAGACAGTAATGCCACTATATAAATCTATGGTACACTCAAACCTTGAATACTGTGTGCAGTTCTGGTCGCTCCATCTCAAAAAAGGTATATTAGACCTGGAAAAGGCACAGAGATGGGCAACAAAATGATGAAGGGCATGGGACAGCTTCCATATGAGGAGAGATTAAAAACATGGGGACTGTTCAGCTTAGAAAAGAGATGACGAAGGGGGCGTGGGAGGGAATGACAGAGGTATATACAATCAGGACTGGGGTGGAGAAAGTGTTATTTACCTCTTCACATAACACAAGAGCCAAACAGAACAAAGTCAGCCAATGACATTTATAGGCAGCATGTTTAAAACAAAACATAAGGAAGTACTAATTCACATAATGCACAGTCAACTTTATTGCTTGGGGATGTTGTGAAGGCCAAAACTATAGCTGGGTTCAAAAAAGAATTAGATAAGTTCATGGAGGATGGGTCCATCAATAGCTATTAGACAAAATAGTCAGGGTGTCCCTAGGCATCTGGCTGCCTAAGGACACCCTGGATGACAGGGGATGGATCGTTTGATGGTTGCCCTGTTCTGTTCATTCCCTTTGAGCATCTGGTATTGGCTGCTGTCAGAGGATGGGATACTGGGCTAGATGGACCATTTGTTTGACCCAATATGGCCATTCTTATGTTCTAAGGCAGGGGTCAGCAACCTATGGCATGCATGCCAAAGATGACACACAAGCCAATTTTTAATGGCATGCTGCTGCCTGCTGGGTCCCAGCCACTGGCCCTGCTCAGGCCGCTGCCGAACCCAGGCCGGGACCCCAGCACGCAGCAGCGAGCCATTAGAAATCCTGCCTGCCCCAGCCCGGTCTTCTCCGCCCCCGCAGGGGCAGGGTGAAGAAGCTTGGTCCTGCCAGCTGCTGCTGCAGGGTAGGCAAGCTCCCCCCTCCCCTGCCTCTTCCCTGAGCATGCTGAGTTCCTGCCCCTCCTCCGCTCCCTCCCTGCTGCCCATCAGCTGATGGCCCTTGCGAGGGAGGGGGAGGAGTGGAGCCGTAGCACTCGCGCTGCTCCAGGGAGGAGGCGGAGAAGAGCGGGGGGAAGGGGCTGTGGAGTGGAATCAGGGCATATCCCCTCCAGCCCCCTGCCGTGAGCCGCTCTCGGCAAGGGGCTGGGAGCAACCCCAGGACCCTAGCCCACACCCCCAGCCCTCTGCCCTGACCCCTGCACCTCCCACATTCCCCACTCTGACCCTGAGCTCCAAACGGGAGCTCCTACCCCTCTCCCTACATTCTCATCTGCACCCCTCGCACCAAATGGGAGCTGCCCAGGTAAGCACTCCACATCCAAACCTCCTGCCACAACACAGAGCCCCCTCCCTCATTCTAGCTCCTGGCCAGACCCTACACCCCAACCTCCAGCCTGCTCCTCCACCCCCAGCCCTGTGCTCAGTGCAGAGAGAGGAAGAGAATGGGCTAGAACCAGGGAGAAGGTAGGTACCCACTCTGTGTGGGCAGGGCCAGGACCCCAGACTGGCAGCGGGCTCAGCTATACAGTCTGGGGTCCCGGCTGCCAGCTCCTCTCAGCCTGCTGCTGGTCTGGGGTTCTGGCTGCCAGCCCCTTGCCAGCCAGGGTCCTGGCCGCAGGCCCCGCCCAGCCTGCTGCCGGCTTAAGTGAACGGAATCCCAGGCTGGCAGCGGGCTGAGCAGGCCGGCGGCATAAGATCAGTATTTTAAATTTAATTTTAAATGAAGCTTCTTAAACATTTTGAAAACCTTGTTTACTTTACATATGACAATAGTTTAGTTATATAATATATAGACTTATAAAGACAGATCTTCTAAAAAACATTAAAATGAATTACTGGCACGCAAAACCTTAAATTAAGGTGAATAAATGAAGACTCGGCACACCACTTCTGAAAGGTTGCCGACCCCTGTTCTAAGGTTTATCCCCTCAGAATAAGAGTCAGCGTCTCTGAAAGCCAACTGTAAAAGATGAAGTACATAGGGAAATGGAAAGGTGGCATAAAGATGGAGGCCATTCTTAAGGAGATATTCAAATAAGTGATCCTTAGAACTTTAGGTAAGCGTCCAAAATGGATCTCCAAACTTTTTAAGGTTCATCACTAGCCTAACCAGTCTCTTTCACCACTCCAGCCTCCTCTTCCTCCCACCCCCAAGACATCGAACCAATGCACAAAATAAATGGGTGTTTGCAAATGCCAATTTATAATCCCCAAAAGAAAGCAGCCATACGCAGAAATTCCTAACATTATATGTTGTACCTATTTCATCCATGCACCTTAGGACCTTGAAGGAGTCACTGGCCCTTCTCAACTTTATAATTAAAGAAATAAAAGGCTATTTAAGAGAGGGGAGGAGGTTGCTGGAATCCATCCAAGTCCTAGCAGGGAAGGGAAGAGCTTCTAGATTTATATTAGATGAAATCATAAATCTTCATTCACCTTTTGCAGAGCTCTAAAGCTAAAAATAACTACAGTGCCTGCGGGACTTCAACATTTGGATTAATCAAGTCTTGTAGTGCTACAGGGAAAAAACGCTACAGGAACAAAATGCTGGATGATTTCTGGGCCAGAGCATTCAGGCAACGACGCAGTATCCAGAGAATGAACAGCCGTTTGTTTCTGGTTCAAGCAGATGTTCCAGGAGAATTACAGCAGGGGGAAAAAAAAAAAAAATCATCTCAGGTCACAAAATAGTCTATTATAGAAGGAAAAATAGATGTTGGCCACAATGGACGGGGGCAGTCAGCCACCCCAGCTACTGTACCAAAGCCCAGTTAACGTGAGATTTGGGTGTTAGTAGAAAATTTGTTACATTACAGTCCATGATCTTGTTCGGTATACTCAGTATCCATTTGATCACAACTTTCCTCCAGCTCATTTTGGAATTCCAGTACTGAACACCCCTTAGTGTGGAGCAAGCAGAATACAATTACCATACACTATGCAAACCCTGGAAGTACTTACAAATAAGTAAATACATGATTTAGCAACTGCAGGGAAATATGGAAACAATCAGGAAACTTCAAGAGAATATAAGTGCACAGGATAAGAGATAAGGAAGATCTACCCAGTCACCTACAGTAGAACCTCAGAGTTACAAACATCTTGGGAATGGAGGTTGTTTGTAACTCTGAAATGTTTGTAATGCTGAACAAAATGTTATGGTTCTTTCAGAAGTTTACAACTGAACATTGACTTAATACAGCTTTGAAATCTTACTATGCAGAACAAAAATGCTGCTCTCCCTTTATATTTTTAGTAGTTTACATTTAACTCAGTACTGTGCTTTATTCCCCGCTGCCTCCCCTTTTTTTTTGGGTCTCTGCTTCTGTCTGATTGTGTACTTCTGGTTCCAAATGAGGTGTGTGATTGACTGGCAAGTTCGTAACTCTGGTATTGGTAACTGACTGGTTCTATTATACTCTATATATTACGGCTCCTTTGTTATGCTACTATTTTGTCCCATTGTGTTTTCAGTACATCAAGCAATGGGACTTGCTGCAACTTCCCTTAGGAGACTCCTCCTAGATCTTGCCGCTTGGAAGTTTTTCCTGATAGCTGGTCTAAGGGTATGTCTACACAGCTGACGTTAAAGCGCTGCTGTGGCATCCGTGGCTGTGTAGTCGCGGCTCCAGCACTGTAATAAAACCACCTCCAAGAGGAGAATAGCTCCCAGCACTTGTATAAACCACTTTAGCCTCAATTTTGCTGATGTAGTATGCCTTATACTTTCCACAATGTTGAGAAGTAGAAGCCCTCTTTCCTCTCTCCTGCTGAGTTGTTTGTCAATGATAATTCCCGTTTGTGGCTTCCCCTTCTGACCACCGCTCCCAGGCCCTCAAATGAAGCTTTGCAGATGCCACTTCCATTGCAGTGTTTTGGCTAGCAAGTGGGAGTCCATGTTAATAACACTGTATACCAGTAGGCAGTTCTTAGTCCACTCCCCGACTCTGCACTGGAATACATACACTTGAAAGGTTATACCTTCCCTTCTCTTTCCAGGAGGTCTGTTTTCGCAGGAAGATTGTCACCTTTACATCTTCTGACAAGATTCCTTGTCACGTGGAGCCTTAGCACATTCTCTTGGTTATCATCTCCACTTGGATGACAGAAGGAAGACTGTTGTCCTCGTTTCCCCAATAGATCATGTTTCTCTGGTGCCACCTTAGCAACAGTACAGCTTGTTGTGGACCTTTCACAGTTCGTTTAGCTACACTGATTTTAGAGTGGGTGTGGGCCTCTAAGGTAAGTGCTACTGCAAAGGAAATTAACAACACACTTGTCTGCAGTTGAGGGAAAACAATTAATGATTGTATGTTCAAAGTCATAAAATAGAAGGGGAAAACATATGACATATCAGAAGTCTGCTTTCTGTGTTTTGATTGACATGCTTAATTAGATCTCAATGTATGATTCAGATAGTCATTAACAATATACTGCACTTAGCTCAAGGAGAATGAAAGGCGAAAAAGAGAGCGCGCGCATTCAAACAAACATTCATTTCAGTAACTTACTTTAGGGTCTGCACACTTGAACTTTAACCTTTCCACCATCTCCAGCATGGCCACCTTCAGGTCAACGGGTTCTCTATTCTACAAGGAAGGGAGGACAGAGGTCACTAAACAGTACTCGTTTTAACTCTACCAAGCACAACAAGGATTTTCACAGGACAATGGGAGGCAGCAATTTTTCAGCTAATTCTATCAGCCATGTTGCAGTGAGCCCATGAATACATTTCCCTTCTCTTCTAGGACTATTTTTGTTCAGGCAAAAGGCACAAGGGGAAGAAAAAAAAAAAGCCGCCAAGTGAGCTGGGAAAACTATTGGAATGAAAATTAAATGCAATTGCACAGGCTGACTCATTCATTGCTTCGTCTCGTGGCTCAGCTGCACCCATGTTCACTGAATTAGGGTCCAATCCTAGAAGATGCTCATTGCCTCTCAATTAGTATTAAAGCCAATGGCTCAGTAACTTGCAGGAGGCACTCAGCACTTTACAGGATAAGGCTCTTACTAAGGATCTGCAAGAATGGGTGGCCTGGGTCCATGTAACATTTATATTCTATTATGAGCACTGGCTGCCTGATAATTTAATCTTGCACTTTTTGTATATCCATTTATAAATCGGAGCAGAGAGAGAGATTAAAAAAGGAAAGAACTAATTAAGGAAGCAATCAAGAGTTCATACTTCAGGAGAGAGAAGTGAAGTGAAATGATAGGCACTTATGGAATCCCTGGAATATTCATTTCCTTTGCTTCAACTGTTCCTCTCAAATAAGTGTAATTTTACTTTTTGCAGAGAATGATCGCAGTGACAAATACAAGAGTTAAACAGCAATCTTAAGGCAGTTTTCTCCAAGACATGGGTCAGACCTATCTACAGCAGCTATCAGAATACTGACACCTCATAGAAAATATTCTATTATACCAGCACAGAAGGGATAAAAGAAAGCAAGTAAGCCTCATTGTCCATCTCTGCAGAGGCTACCCACAACTCCAGTGCAAGAAATGCTTGTAGTTGCACAGCAAGCCAGGACTTTTTGTTGCCAGTTGCCATTTTGAATTTTTCTTCGTCTCCTCAGCGACCACCCTGTGTTGTCACCAGCACCACTGGTCAGAGAGGCCCTGGCACGAAATACAAATACATGACTGGGCTCAAAAGCCAAGAGAAAAAGAGAGAGACAGACAGACACACCACAACCTAGAGCCTCTGATACCTCCAGCTGACAGACACCACTGCTAGTCAGAAATACAGTGCCAACAATTCTTACTGCCTGCTTGCGGGGGCAGAAGCAGCACCCCCAAAGCACACAGGAAAAACAGCACAGGCAGTAACCAAGAGCCCCACAAGCAAGAGCCAACAAACCAACTGAGTCCAACCATGATTGGGGGTGCGGTCCAACCCCCCCCAAGGAAGAGCCATATTGTAGTTGGGCCACACTGGATTTGTCTACACTGCAGCTGGAAGAGAGCCTTCCGGCCTGGGTAGATGGACTCAGAGGTGATGCGTGGGGGGGGAGGGGCGACATGTGCCCCCCCACAAATTTATGCCAGCATTTGCCAGCCAGGCCTCTTCCTTGGGCAGCAGCTCCTGGAGCTGGCAAGCTGCAACCACAGGGAGAGGCACCAGCAAACAGCTGGGGGCTACAGGGAGGGGCTGTTGCTTTAGCTTCACGGGGAGAAGTAGCAGCAAACACCTGAAAGCTGCAGGGAGGGGCCACTGAGGGAAGAGGGGGACGCATGACTCAAGCTGTTGGAGGGGACCTTTAAATTGTGCCTCCTACCCCTCCACACCCATTAGCAGGTATCAGCCATCTCTGGATGGACTTATGCTAACAGGGCTTGAGCTAGAGCGCAAAAATAGCAGTGAGACGTTGCAGCTCGGGTGCCATAACCGACTCCCTGGATCGGAGCTCATGCAGCTAGCCCAAGTTTCCACCAGAGCCATAGTGTCCACACTGATACTTTCAATGCACTACTTTGAGCCCTGCCAGCATAAATCTGTCTTCCTGGGTTGGGAGGCTCACTCCCAGCTGCAGTGTAGACAAACCCAATGTGGCCATGTCCTGTGGGGTGCTGTTCCCACTGCTCCTTCTGTACAATGGAAAGACATATGCAAACATCACTGAGCCAAACCCAGAATAGCTGAAAATGGGACTGGGGTGGAGGGGAGGGTTGGTCTATTTCGTTTTGCACTCTGCCTCAAAATGGACAAGGCTTGGTTTGTGGGCAGTGTTTGGGAGGATAGCACTCCTTCCTCCCCCCAGTTCAATCCCTAGCCTAGTAACAGTGCAGTTTTATGCAAGGGCTAGTCACAATCCCAATCCTCCAGTTCTCAAACCCCATCTGTTGCTCCTGAGGTTTGATAATGCTCTAAAATGGGAAAAGATGAGGCAAGGGCTGGAGTGATTTAGCTGAAGGCTGGGCCTCTGCAAAGGGCAATGGCTTCTTTCAAAAGGTATGGCAACAGCGATGCAACTTTTGCTTCCTGAAAGTATCCTGGGTGAACCAGCCAGGATTTCTTCAGTAATTGCTGCTGAGGAGCCGCTCTGAACTGCTCCCATTCTATCCGTCATGGTCTGTCCCTTAGCCCAAAATGCACCCCTCCATTTCAGGATGATTCTGCTTATAGTGAATGTTTCCGATGTCTTCCTTTAAAAAAAAAAGGAAGTATTACTTGGGACAGCTGCATCAAAACAGAAATACTGTGTTCACAATGTCATCTGCTTCTATTGCTCATTCCTCATTGAAGCCTACCTAATTAAGGTGTTCATATAGCCCCAGTCAGTTTCCAGGCATAGTATCCTCTGTTCCTTGAGCAATCAATTATGACATCACACGTTCAGATTAGTGTTAGGATATAGATATTCAGGCCTATCTGTAAAGGCCTAGACTCTAAGAATTTAGGTGTATTCTTATCACTTAGCTAGGTATAAAAGAAAGAATCAAAATCACTGTCTGCCAGTGTAAGGTCCTTCTCTTACTGTGACAGTCTGAGGCCCTGTTCTTAGGCTAAGGCCTTTGGCTAAGCACCAGAGGCAGCCATAAGCTGGGAAGCGACCGGTCACATCCTCATATTCCAAACTAGTCACATTGAAAGAAGGTGCTATTGGGCTGTTAGGAATACAATCCTGTCCTGATAATGCCTATTGCCTCCAGAGAAAGGGAAGTGCCTAGAAGATGTAAAAGGAAACTTAGTTTGATGGGTTTCAGAGTAGCAGCCATGTTAGTCTGTATTCGCTAAAAGAAAAGGAGTACTTGTGGCACCTTAGAGACTAACAAATTTATTTGAGCATAAGCTTTCGTGAGCTACAGCTCACTTCGTCGGATAGCATCCTGTCTGGCAAGAACTCACTTATCAATAGCTGGGATGTGAAATCCTCACTTCTGTATTGTTTTGTCACTAGAGTTCCCACTTTGCTATTGTTTGTCTGTATAATCTCTGACTGGTTCTATGATTGTTCCTGTCTGCTATATAATTAATTTTGCTGGGTGTAAACTAATTAAAGTGGTGGGATATGATTGGTTACATAATCATGTTACAATATGTTAGGATTGGTTAGTTAAATTTCAGGAAAATGATTGGTTAAGGTATAGCTAAGCGGATCTCAAGTTTTACTATACAATCTGCAGTCAATCAGGGAGTGAGTGTGTGCATGGGTGGGAAATGGGAACAGGGAATGGTGGTGGGGAAATTGGAATCATGTTTAGCTAAAGGGGGAAATGGGAACAGGGACACAGGTAAGCCTCTGTGGTGTCAGAGCTGGGAAGAGGGACACTAAGGAAGGAAACTGGAATCATGCTCGCTGGAAGTTCACCCCAATAAACATCGAATTGTTTGCACCTTTGGACTTCGGGTATTGTTGCTCTCTGTTCATGCGAGAAGGACCAGGGAAGGAAGTGGGTGAAGGAATAAGCCCCTTAACAATTAGGATTTCAAAGGGGGCAGAAGCAGCAGGAACAGACAAAAATCAAAAGCAACAAAGATCTTATTTGTATACAGGTGCTCCAAGTAATCAACCAAATAAACTATTAAAATATGGTATAAGCAGGATTGTTTCCAAATAGAAGTTTTTCCAATGAGGTACCAATGGCAAGTGTCCTGAAGGACTAGTCTGACACGAGACAGAAGGCAGAGTGATTTAAACAATGCAAGCAGCATCCCTGTCAAGGTTCCTCCCCCACTCTGAACTCTAGGGTACAGATGTGGGGACCTGCATGAAAAACCTCCTAAGCTTATCTTTACCAGCTTAGGTCAAAACTTCCCCAAGGTACAAAATATTCCACCCTTTGTCCTTGGATTGGCCGCTACCACCACCAAACTAATACTGGTTACTGGGGAAGAGCTGTTTGGACGCGTCTTTCCCCACAAAATACTTCCCAAAACCTTGCACCCCACTTCCTGGACAAGGTTTGGTAAAAAGCCTCACCAATTTCCTAGGTGACTACAGACCCAGACCCTTGGATCTTAAGAACAATGAACAATCCTCCCAACACTTGCACACGCCCCCCTTTCCTGGGAAATGTTGGATAAAAAGCCTCACCAATTTGCATAGGTGACCACAGACCTAAACCCTTGGGTCTGAGAACAATGAAAAAGCATTCAGTTTTCTTACAAGAAGACTTAATAAAAATAGTAGTAAATAGAAATAAAGAAATCCCCCCTGAAAAATCAGGATGGTAGATACCTTACAGGGTAATTAGATTCAAAAACAGAGAACCCCTCTAGGAAAAACCTTAAGTTACAAAAAAGATACACAGACAGAAATAGTTATTCTATTCAGCACAGTTCTTTTCTCAGCCATTTAAAGAAATCATAATCTAACACATACCTAGCTAGACTACTTACTAAAAGTTCTAAGACTCCATTCCTGGTCTATCCCCGGCAGAAAAACAGCATATAGACAGACACACAGACCCTTTGTTTCTCTCCCTCCTCCCAGCTTTTGAAAGTATCTTGTCTCCTCATTGGTCATTTTGGTCAGGTGCCAGCGAGGTTACCTTTAGCTTCTTAACCCTTTACAGGTGAGAGGAGCTTTCCCCTGGCCAGGAGGGATTTCAAAGGGGTTTACCCTTCCCTTTATATTTATGA